TCTGCCTGGTTAACCTGATCCGAGCTCGGACCGGTCTTGGCATGGATCGGTTTTTTGAGGGTAGTGTAAATGAGGTATTAGTCTCGGAGTGTTTTTCATGAATTTCTTATAGAAGCACTTTTGTTATTTTCCTAATATATTCGGGCAAGTTGGCGTTTCTTGTTATTACATTGACATTAATTTTTGCCATCAAAATTAATTGATTATTTTAATAATAAAATAATAGTATCTAACTTTCCTATAAAAGGTTAAGCGCATCCAGTAAAGTGCGGCTTTGCTATATTTGCTGAGATCAGTGGGTAAAAATTGTTTTAATATATTTTTAAGTGAGAAAGTCCACCTGAAAACATAATCTGCGCAGTCAGTTCATCCAGATTACCATTCTGCCTTCAGTTCTTTTTTTTCTGTCGGAGACGCGCTGACCCCCACTTTTGTTTCCAAGTTTGAAGGCGTTTCTCTTCTTTTCCAGGAAGCTTTTTCATTTCAAAATGTCAGAAATAGCGTTGAGTTCCAGGCTTTATACAGTAGCACAACAAGACTTTGTTTTTATGTTTGGCTACTGTATAAAACCTCTAACTTGGAAACAAAGTCCAGTGGATTGTTTTTTTTAGCTTTTTTTGGATGACTTTGACCTGGATGACTGAGAGTTATGAGAAGTGCATTGATCCTGTTGATACTACCTCACTGAATACTGACACCTGCTGGACATTTGAAGACACTACAAGTATGAAGATAGATTTGTTTCTTTATTATTCAATCAAAAAAAAGGTTACTTCAATCAAAAAATATATTTTCAATTAAAAAAATCTTCACTCCTATGAAAAAAAACTTTTCAATCAAAGAAAAAAAGTATTTGAATGAAAAAACATATTTGAGACTCAAAAAAATACATTTGAAGACTGCTTTTCTTTGATTGAAAATGTTTTATTTGATAGAAGTCTTTTTTGTTTAAAGCAACTTTGTTAATTGAAGTAACATTGTTTTTTGATTGGACCATATCATGGGTAGGACATTTGTGTCTTTATTATTCAATCAAAAAAGAAGTTGCTTCAAAAAAACAAACAACAGAATCAAGGAAAAAAGTAACTTCAATGAAAAGATAAAGTTTTCAATAATAGAAAATAGTTTTTGAATTTAAATAAAATATTTGAGACTCAAAAAATTGCATTTGAACACTTTTTTATTGTTGAAAGGATCTATTTAGTGTTTGGGCGATACATGGGTAGGACATTTGTGTCTTAGTCATTCAATTCCCAAAAAGTTGTTTCAGTCACAAAAAAAAAATAAATAAATAAATCCAAGAAAAAACTGTGCAAATGCAAAAAAAATAAATAAATAAAATAAATAAATTACCCTATGAATAGATTTTTTTTTTTTTTTAAGTGAAAAAAAATTTGAATTTAAAATTGTTTTATTTAAATCAAAAACATTTTTGAAGTGCAAAAAGTTTTGAAGTTCATTTTTTTTTTTATTGAATAATTTTGACACAAACGTTCCGCAGTGGGCGAATATATTTTGCATTCAAATACTTTTTTTCTTTGATTGAAAAGTTTTTTTTTTCATTGAAGTGAAGATTTTTTTAAATGAAAATATATTTTTTGATTGAAGCAACCTTTTTTTTTATTGAATAATAAAGAAACAAATCTACCTTAATAGTACAAGCAGCTTATTTGACAGACTAAACTGAATCAATTCGATGACCCAGTACAGTGATATCATTTAAGTTATTGTTGGATATATTGTATTATTTCATATCTACTCTTAAATTGATTTTTTTTTTATATTTTTAGATACAGCCAATACATAATGTGAACATATATCATAACATAAAAATGTGAATGAGAATTCTTGTGGACTAGGACTAAATATATTTTAAAACTACAGTAAAACAAGGGTTCATTTGAAATTAACTTTAGTTCTGATGAGGTAATTGAAATTTAAGAGAAACAGGATGACAAACTGAGAAAATTAAAACAAAAATGCTCCCTTTGTCTTGATGCTGCTCCATAATTCTTGATCATTTTGATAATAAACGGCCAAAGAATTTTATTTTTATTTGTCTTGTTGAAAGATAACATTTTTAAACACAGTTTAGTGCATCAGTCCGTTAGAAACAACTCCTGTATTTGTTCACGTGACTGCCTTAAGGCAGAGAAGAATCGAGAGAATAGGAAAATTATTTCTAAGTGTATTAAAAAGCATTAAATTAGAGTTGCTCATTCCTGTATAAAACCTGAAAAAATCCAAACGCCTTTGTTGTTGTTTTCCCCCTTATGTCTCATTTTCTGTCATAACTCTCCTCGGCAGGAGAGACGTGGAACCCACTAAAGCTCCACTACCAGCTGAGGAACGTCCGTGAGCGTCTGGCCAAGAACCTGGTGGAGAAAGGCGTCCTGACCACAGAGAAGCAGAACTTCCTGTTGTTTGACATGACCACTCATCCCCTGACCAACAGCAACATCAAGCAACGCCTCATCAAGAAGGTCCAGGAAGCCGTTCTGGAGAAGTGGGTGAACGACCCCCATCGGATGGACAAGCGGCTGCTCGCCCTCATCTTCTTAGCCCATTCGTCCGACGTTCTGGAGAACGCCTTCGCCCCACTAATAGACGACCAGTACGACCTGGCGATGAAGAGAGTGCGGCAGCTGCTGGAGCTGGAGCCTGAGGCGGAGAGTATGAAGACCAACACTAATGAGATGTTATGGGCCGTGGTGGCGGCCTTCACCAAATGAGACCCTGGAGCTTCCGCTGGGACGAACTGGTTCTCATGGACCCATCAGGTCCCAGTTTGCTAAACATCTGAACTCCTCCAGGAAGTAGAATTAAGACGCTGACTGATTAGTAGATTTTGTTTTCTGTGAACAAAACCGTTTTTTTCTGAGTGCAGGGACCAGCGCTGCGGCGTACGGACTAACCCGTGTTAGAGCGAGACCAAATTATGACAAACTGTATGCAAAGTTCATGTTTTCTCTGGTGTCATATCAACAAGGCTGATGATCCAGACTCTGTGTTCTGTCCTTGTGTCGAGGCGTTACTAAGCTGGTTCCTGGTTCAGAGGAACTGCTCCACATAAGAAGTCCAGAATAACGAAGAGCCTTTTCTTATGTGAGAAATTTGGTAATAGAATCTCAAACAAGGTGAAAAGTCTTTGGAAAAGGTACGATGCAGATAGTCTGCAGCTAGAAGATGCATCCTGGGCTAACTGGGTCTACCGACTGGATCTGGTTCAGCCAACATGGCTGTAGATCTGGACAGGTGCACTGGCTGTGATCGTAAAGCGTCCCCTAAACAAAGCAGTTTCCACCATAGGATTCATGTAGCACCGTATCAGAAGCTCTAACAGCTGCATTTGCTTCAATATTTAATGACTGTTTATTGTAGAGCTGGGCGATTAATTCCATTTGCAATATAATCGCAATTTAACAAAACATTCCAAAAACTTTAAAAAACAATAAACTGGAATTTGTTTCGAAGTTTGAAGACGTTTCTCTTCCCATCCAGGAAGCTTTTTCAATTCAAAATGTTAGAAATAGTGTTGAGTTCCAGGCTTCATGAAGTAGCCCCAAACAAAGCCTTGTTTTTACTTAGACAACATGCAGATTGAACCAGAAGAACGGGTCCAGTCCTTTGGAATGGGGGTCGTTTGGCCTCTTCGTTACCCTGCAATGCCCCATACCTGTCTATGTCTCTGAAAGGGGGGACATTAAAGGGAATTGTTGGCCTGGCTGAACAGGCGAGGTCTTCTGTTCTCCTGTAAAGGGGTTGGGGGTTGGAATTATAGCAAGAAAGGATCAACTCTACCAATGCATT